CAGTGCACTTTCTTCCTTCTCCGGCCACCGAAAGAAAGAGAGAAAGAGAAAGAAAGAAAGAGGAAGAAAGGAAGGGAGAGAGAGAGAGAGAGAGAGAAAAGAGAGACAAGAAAGAGAAAGAGAAAGAGAGAAAAAGAAAGAGAAAGAGAAAGAAAAAGAAAAAGGAGGAAGGGAGAGAGAGACAAGAAAGAAAGAAAGAAAGAAAGAAAGAAAGAAAGAAAGAAAGAAAGAGAGGGGAGGGAGGAAGGAAGGGAGAGAGAGAGAGAAAAAAGAGGAGGAAGGAAGCACCACAAACCCTGGCACAAGACGTGGCTTCAGAAGTCGCAATTTAGGGCTGGAAGGGATCTCGGAAGTCATCTATAGTCCAACCCCCTACTGCAGCAGGAAACCTTACATCGTTTGGATTATTTTGGTGCCTCTAACAGAGAGGAAAATTGCAAAAAAGGAGGAGTTTACTAGGACAAGGCTGCTATGCAGAGGAAGGTAGATAGTCCTTGACTTATGACAATTGCACCCAAAATTTTGGTTGCTAAGCAAGCGTGTTGTTAAGTGAGTTTCACCACATTTTACTCAATCCATGACATTTCCTGGCTCTAACAGTGAGTAAGGTGAGTGACATCAAGTTGGCCATGCCCACTCGGTCAGGTGACCACCAAGCCACGCCCACCAAGCCATGCCCACAGAACCAGTAGGGAAAATTTTTCAATTTCACCACTGACACAGAGCCCTCTCTGCTGGCATGCATGCCATCGCCCCAGATCAGATCTCCATGGCATTTCTTTTGTGAGCTTCTGTTTCCCGGCAAATGACAAAACAGAAGCTCACAAAAGAAAAAGATCTTACTTCTTGCTGCGCTGACAGCGTTGGGATGCCCTGCCTCCCGCCGGCCAGCTGGTCTTTGGGTCTCTGCTGCGCATGTGCGTATGTCCATGCATGCACATGTTTGCACATGTCCATGCATGCGTGCAGGCATGTCCACACATGCGCACATTGCTGGTGTTGGGAAGCCCCCCCTCCTGCTGGCAAGCTGGTCATCAGGTCTCTGCTGCATATGCACGCATGTCCATGCATACATATGTTCACGCATGTCCATGCCTGCGCATGTTGCCCGTGTGGAGATGCACCACCTCCCGCCTGCCAGCTGGTCTTCAGGTGTCTGCTGTGCATGCACGCATATCCACACATGTGCACATTTGTGCATGTCTGTGCGCATGTCTGCACATGTGCACATGCGCACACACATTTCAGTTTGGACATGTGAGTGCAGTTTGGGCACTCGGTGTCTAAACAGTTCGTCATCACTGGCTTAGGGAATGAAAAGAGCATAAATGTGGAAAAACAAGCCAGCAGCATCATGCTCCTTAGAATGACCCTATGGCAGTGATGGCTAACCTTTTCCGGACTGAGTGCCCAAAGTGTGTGTGAATGCGCCGTGTGTGACTGAACCCCCAAAATGCAATGCATGTGTGGCCCCGGCATGCACCCCGCCCCCCATGCATGTGCCCCCTCCGCACATGCCCCCCCGCATGTGCCCGATCCCCGCACATGTACGCACGCCCCACATGTGCCCCATACCTGTGCATGAGCGGCAGAGACCCAATAACCAGCTGGCTGGCGGGAAGCATGCGCAGCGGAGCTGAACTGGAGCAACAGCTTGCGTGCCCACGCGTGCCATAGGTTCGCCATCACGGCCCTATGGTCTTTGGTTGATTAATATTTAGAGCCGAGGTGGCGCTGTGGTTAGAGTGCGGCACTGCAGGGTACTTCACTGCAGTTGGCAGTTCAAATCTCACCGGCTCAATGTTGACTCAGCCTTCTGAGGTGGGTAAAATGAGGACCCAGATTGTTGGGGGCAATATGCTGACTCTGTAAACCGCTTAGAGAGGGCTATAAAAGCACTATGAAGTGGTATATAAGTCTAAGTGCGGTTGCTATTTAAATTATAACATTATTGATGGTATGAAGCTGTCTTTGTTACCAAAGATACCCCTCCAAAATTATTATACAAAATTAAGTAGTCATTTGTATTTTCCAGTCTCTAATATATGTTTTTATATAATATATCAGCACACCATCTAAGGCTCCACCTAAATTCTCTTCAGTAAAGAACTATAACTACTATGTTGCCTCTAAATGAAAAGGCAAACTTTACCCAGGAATTTCCTGTGTAACACCTGGGATTTAAAAAGGTGAGCTCTTTAAAGCAGCAAAAACATCTTTATCTGAATTTTAAAAAGAACATTTTATGGGAATATCACAGTTGTTTTTTTTATCACCAGATGTTGAAATTGTACCCTTGTTCTATCCATGTTTCTAAAATCTGGATTATAAATTACGAATGCAGATTTTTTTCTCCCCCACTACATACTCAAACATAAGAAATGCCCTATTTTATCCCACCAAAAAATAGGCCAGATGGAACTTTGTATTAAAATTGCTACATACTTCGCCATGTATAAAATGTTTATTTGGATGCATTTTATTAGCCTCACCCAAGTAAAACATTATCAGAAATACCAGTACTTCTTCCTGGCCTGTACATTTTTCATGCCTGTTTCATTCCTATGTAATTATGCACCTTTCTTACCGGAGTGTTTGCAAAATGAAAGATGCTATTTCAGAATGTTTTGAATGTTTTACCCAGAGGTCTGGTGAAACATTTAACATTCAAAAGTGAGCGATACTCCCAAAGCAGCAAATTATCCCTTCATCTCAAAGCTCTCCTTAAAGCTAAGCAAATTCAGTTAACACTCTTTCAAACCGAAGACAAACAAGTGGTTATCTAATCAAAAAGGGCAGAGTCCACATTTAAACCAACGAAAAGAGCAACTGTGAATCACAGTGTTATTCCAAATAAGAGCCTTTCCATGGTTTTACAGACGTATCAGAAAAAGGAGGGGAAAAGAAAAACAAGGTAGACAATTATATCAGGTAAAGCCTCTTAATATGTTCGGCTCAGGAATAAATTACTGCATTTCTAGAGCCAGATATTATTTCTTAAAAGCATTCCTATTTGATATAATAGGAACATGTGGCAGTTCAAATTAAAAGCAATCCTGAATTATGCCCCTAAATACATTTACTAGAACTTCAATTACACAGCAGCTGTTACTGCCCTTGGGGTAGCCATGGGTCAAGAATGCACAAACAGAAATGGCAAAAAGTGTACCAGGGCCCAAACCCCATATGGTTTCTCCCGTTAGGGAGGGAAACAGTTAATACTGGGTCCCGAATGGGTGATATATGTAGCTTTAAGAATGTGGTTTGCTATTACTCCCTGCAGGGATGCACCGAGTCACAATGGATCTTGCTATTGAAGTAGATACAAAAAAAATACTACAAGAATCTTTAATCATGCTGATTATATAGGCAAAAAAGTTTTTTTTAAAGTTTGAATCTTTAATCTCCACTCTTTCTGTAGTTTATGCATAGCTCAAAAGACTGCTTTGAGAAATTAAACTATTTAATGTCTGCACAGTGCAGAGCTGTAATAAATGTAACCCGTTTTTATCCAACAGAGGTATAGTTTGGACAGAATATATATGTGTGTAGCCACTTGCTTTACCCACAAGGCAGAGAAAATGTTCCCCTCCCAGCAACCCTGTAAGTACCAAGGCTAAAAATTACAGGTTGTCCTTATTTAATGACTATCTTGTATAAGCGACTGTTTGCAGTTATAACAGTGATGAAAAAGGAACTTTGTGACCAAGCCTCACACTAGCAATCTTTGCAAGTTTGTAAAGCAAAGTTGAAGGAAGCTCATAAACATGGTTACATTTCACTCAGCAACCACTTCACTTAACAGCTGAGTTGCCAGTCCCAATTGTGGTTGCTAAATGAGGGCTACCTGTAGTAACCGGCCCCCAATTATCAGCAAATTTCAAATTTGCTGAACAATCAAATCAAATTTCTTGAACAAGACTCCTTGTAAGGTAAACAATAGCACCCGCATCAAGCCAGGATTTGAGGTATCCTTCTTTCCTAATTACATTATCACAGTAGAGCTGGACAAAAAAGATCCAGATTCCATCCATTCTCAACCACAGAAACTCACTACCAGATTAATAAATCTCTCCATCACCAGTGAGGATACCCCTAAACTCTCAGCAGGCTTAACCAGAAGCTTTATCAGGACTTAGAAACCCACAGGATCCTCATTAATACTAAGGGACCACAAAGTAAGTCTGGAAAGTTAAAAAAAAAAAAAAAAAAAGAGGGGAGGGAATCATTTCATTTCATTTATTTGTCAAGCATATATAAGAGAACAGATAAAAGTATAAACATGATTTGAATACATGAAAAGAAAAGGAGTAAAAAGGGACAGGGAAGGTAGGCACTTTGGTGGCTTATGGAAATCCTTTTAATCCTGGGGGAAAAGCACCATTTGCTGAAGAAAAAAACTGAGGCGCACCTGAAGCCCCCAAAGTAGTTATAAAGTGAAATATGCAAACTGCAATCCTGCTTAGTTATACGCAGTCCAACCTGATGCTGGCAGGAGGCGCCCACCTGGCCAACGGGGGATGATGGGACTTGGAAGCCAAGATTTGGGGGGGGGGGGGGAAGGGGGCAAAGTTGGGGAAAGCAGTGTGTCTCCAAAGTGGGGGGGGCTCTATCTAAACTTTCCTCCCCCAGGATTCATTCCTTATTTGAAAGCGAAAGATCAATTAAATCAGTGTTTCTCAACCTTGGTAGCTTGAAGATGGGTGGACTTCAACTCCCAGAATCCCCCAGCCAGCACTGCTGGCTGGGGGATTCTGGGAGTTGAAGTCCACCCATCTTCAAGCTACCAAGGTTGAGAAACACTGAATTAAATGAAAAGAAAATTAAGAAGTTGGGGAGAAATCAATCCAGCCATGGACAATACAAAAAAGACGCAAGGGGGGGGAGGAAACGGGGGGGGGGGCGCCACCTGCTGGGAAGGGGCGTGGCCGGCGGCCGGTCTCCCTGCCCCGCGCATGCGCACGCGCTGCCCCTCTCCCCCTCCCCCGGCATCGAGCTACCTGAAGGGAAGCCTCCTCACCTGGCGGGGGAGGGGCGCCGCCTCAGGGCGCGCGGCGGGGCTGCTGCCCTTCCTTCTCCTCGTCGCCCCGCCGCCCGCCTGTTCGCCCGGCCAGCCGACCCAGGCAAGCCCCGCTCGCTCCGGCCCGGGCAACGTGGCCACCGCCGCCGCCCGCTGGTGCCAGCGAGTTTCCGGACAGCGGGAAAAGGAGCCGAGCCGCGAGCGCGTCGAAACCAGCAGAGGGCGGAGAAAGGGCGGAGGGGGAGGGGCTGCTGCGCCGCGCCTGAAGTGGCCCTGGTGGGCGGGGCCAGGGATTGGGTGGGTCCTCCTCCTGACTCCGCCCCCTCCATCCCTTCCTTCTCTTTCCTTCTTTTCTTTCTTTCCTTCCTTCTCTTTCTTTCCTTCCTTTTTTCTATTTCTTCCTTCCCTCTTTCTTTCCTTTTCCTTTCTTTTTTCTATTTCTTCCTTCCCTCTTTCTTTCCTTTTCCTTCCTTTCTTCTATTTCTTCCTTCCCTCTTCCTTTCCTTTTCCTTTCTTTTTTCTATTTCTTCCTTCCCTCTTCCTTTCCTTTTCCTTCCTTTTTTCTATTTCTTCTTTCCGTCCTCTTTCTTTCCTTTTCCTTCCTTTTTTCTATTTCTTCCTTCCCTCTTTCTTTCCTTTTCCTTCCTTTCTTCTATTTCTTCCTTCCCTCTTTCTTTCCTTTCCTTCCTTTTTTCTATTTCTTCTTTCCCTCTTTCTTTCCTTTTCCTTCCTTTCTTCTATTTCTTCCTTCCCTCTTTCTTTCCTTTTCCTTCCTTTTTTCTATTTCTTCTTTCCCTCTTTCTTTCCTTTTCCTTCCTTTCTTCTATTTCTTCCTTCCCTCTTTCTTTCCTTTTCCTTCCTTTTTTCTATTTCTTCTTTCCCTCTTCCTTTCCTTTTCCTTCCTTTCTTCTATTTCTTCCTTCCCTCTTTCTTTCCTTTTCCTTCCTTTTTTCTATTTCTTCTTTCCCTCTTTCTTTCCTTTTCCTTCCTTTTTTCTATTTCTTCCTTCCCTCTTTCTTTCCTTTTCCTTCCTTTTTTCTATTTCTTCTTTCCCTTTCTTTCCTTTTCCTTCCTTTCTTCTATTTCTTCCTTCCCTCTTTCTTTCCTTTTCCTTCCTTTCTTCTATTTCTTCCTTCCCTCTTTCTTTCCTTTTCCTTCCTTTTTTCTATTTCTTCTTTCCCTCTTCTTTCCTTTTCCTTCCTTTCTTCTATTTCTTCCTTCCCTCTTTCTTTCCTTTTCCTTCCTTTTTTCTATTTCTTCCTTCCTCTTCCTTTCCTTTTCCTTCCTTTTTTCTATTTCTTCTTTCCCTCTTCCTTTCCTTTTCCTTTCTTTTTTCTATTTCTTCTTTCCCTCTTCCTTTCCTTTTCCTTCCTTTTTTCTATTTCTTCTTTCCCTCTTCCTTTCCTTTTCCTTCCTTTTTTTATTTCTTCTTTCCGTCCTCTTTCTTTCCTTTTCCTTCTTTTTTTCTATTTCTTCTTTCCCTCTTTCTTTCCTTTTCCTTCCTTTTTTCTTTCTTCCTTCCCTCTTTCTTTCCTTTTCCTTCCTTTCTTCTATTTCTTCTTTCCCTCTTTCTTTCCTTTTCCTTCCTTTTTTCTTTTCTTCCTTCCCTCTTCCTTTCCTTTTCCTTCCTTTTTTCTATTTCTTCCTTCCCTCTTTTTTTCCTTTTCCTTCCTTTTTTCTATTTCTTCTTTCTCTCTTTCTTTCCTTTTCCTTCCTTTTTTCTATTTCTTCCTTCCCTCTTCTCTTTCTTTCCTTTCCTGAAATATTTTTCTAAAGCACTTGTTGTACGAGAGCTCCACGCTCTTCTGCATCTCACAGATCCCATTTTCTAGCTGAAATACTGTTGCATTTATTTATTAAATTTAAATGCCGCCCATCTCACTGCCGAGCAACTCTCCAACGAACAACTGTAGTCAGTCTTGGAAGTTAGGATTCCTTATGTCTTTCCATATTTGCTGACTTTTGGCCCACTGGGAATTACTGTGGAAATTCAGAAAAAGAGCCCATTTAATCATCAGAATGTCATAAGTGGATGCCTATAAGTCTATAAAGTAAATTTGCCTTCTCTTAATTCTTGTTCCATGGTATCACATTTGTCCTGAGTATTATTTATAAAATAAATGGCTATGCCATATAGAACAGGGGTGTCAAACTCAAGGCCCGGGGAACGGATCTGGCCCGCCCGGGGGCTTACATCTGGCCTGCGGGGCCGCCCTGGAAACAGTGAAGACCTGGCCCGCAATGCCTCTGCCAGCGAAAACGGTGCTCGGGAGGACCGCACCCTGGCAGAGGGTTGCAGGAGGAGAGCCTGTTTTCTCTGGCAAAGCGATTGGGCCCCCACAGGCGCCCCCAACACAAGTGATGTTGAGCTGGCCACGCCCACTCTGGCCCCCTGAGGTCAAACACAACCCTGATGTGTTGTGAATGAAATCAAGTTTGACACCCCTGATATAGAATAGGCAGGAATTAATAGTAATATTTTAGCAGTAGAAGAATTTCCAGAATTTTTCCACAAAAGCATTCCAACCTAGGGGGGGTCCATATGAGGCACCCCAGTAATAAATTAAAGGAACTCTTAGAGTCTTCTCAACTTAAACTATATTGTACAACTTGTATATTCCGCAACTTAGAATAGAGCTTCTTCTATACAGGTTGTCCTTGACTTACAACCAGAATTGAGCCCAATATTCTATTGCTAAGTGGGGCATTTGTTAAGTGAGATTTGCCACATTTTATGATCTTTCTGCTACAGTTGTTAAGTGAATCATTACAGTTGTTAATTTAATAACACAGTTGTTACGTGAATCTGGCTTCCCCATTGACTTTGCTTGTCAAAAGGTCACAAAACGGGATCGCATGACCCCAGGACACTGCAACCGTCACAAATACATACGAGTTGCTAAGTGTCTGGATTTTGATCACATGACCGTGGGGATGCTGCAAAGGTCATAACTCTGAAAAACAGTCATAAGTCACTTTTTTCAGTGCTGTGGTAACTTTGAACGGTCACTAAATGAACTGTTGGTCCCAGTTGTGGTTGTAAGTCAAGGGCTACCTGTAATTATCTTTAAAGGAAAGGGTCATTCTACAAAAGGCTACAAATGCAGACATGAAAGAGTAGAAGAAAAGACAGAGTCACCAATTATAAGGAATGCAACAAATAAGACTAGTTATATCAGAAGAACATCTGAAGCTCTTCTCTAGAAAAATGCATGGAAGCCATCAACAGATTCTACGTATTTTTCCAGATTCCTCTTCTTCAGGACTGTCCATTGGTTCTACTTGCACAGAAGGGCCTCTGGTTGAGCATGGCATGGTCTGATGCTCATCCCTGGCCCTTGGTAAAGGCAGCTGTTTGCTTTCCCTGTTTGCTTCCCCCCGCCAGCATAAGCCATGACAACCAGTTGGATATCCATCCTGCACCTTTGGCTCCTGATCAGTCATGGGTTGCTACCGGTTCACACCGGATCGGGCGAACCGGTAGTGTAGTGGAATGGAAGGACTAAAAAACATTCCCAGGTCAGTCAGAGACAGCTTTATTGCGCAAGGTTCAGAGCCAGATTTGTACCTGAAGCTTTGAACAACCAAAGAACTCTGATACAATGGTTTTTATACATTTCTAAGACAAAGGATTCAGTAAGATCATACATTTTCCATTTTAATCATGAGATCATACATCCAATTTTCCTTCTATGGTTACATACACTGGATAATAAGTTCATCTAATTACTTAAAGCATTAATCTTAGTTTACAAAATTATCTTAGCCACACAACTTTTCTTAAGTGCTCAGAGTTGCTAATGGGAGAGTTACTACTGTCCTTGGGTAAATTCATTGGATTAAGTAACTCTTTGTAACATATAGGTCTTTGTGTCATTCACAGTGAGGTCACTCAGATGTTTTTCCATATGGCAGTCCTTTCCGTGACATCTAGGTCTCAGAAGATATATTACCACTTAAAGGGGTTTAACTATTTGTTAATGTAATTTCCAACAAGCACTTTCCTCTCTTATAATAATGTGAATAGATAGGGTCTCTCAGAGTTCATGTATCCAAGCACGTCTTCCCCTTATAATAATGTGAATAGAGAGGGTCCCCCAGAGCCCATATATCTGACTCTGTATGATTCCTATTTTATTCACATTATTTCTTTTATCTACATTATTCTTTATTTGCTATTTACCTCAGTAGCAGCGGTGGTGGGAAGCTCCGCCCGGACACAGAAGTGACACACGAGCACATGCGCACGAGCGAACCAGTAGTGACGGGATTTGGAACCCGCCCCTGCTCCTGATGTTACTGTAGACCCATTCCCAAATACTTGTCCCAATCCTTAGCCATAGATTTGGAGGTCTTCCACTTTCTGGCCGAAATAGTTGGGTCTCATCCACTGGGCTAAAAACTCACCTCTACTTTTATTGCCAATCCATGTTTGAAAGAGAGATCTTCTGCAATCAGTTCTCCAACAGAAATCAAAGGAAAGCGATAAAGGGACTGCTTTGCTCCCTCTTCTCTTCACATCCCCTGGGAGTAAAAGAGTGGTAGGTGGAGAAAAACAGTCCCAGTTCCCTTGGTACTGAAAAGACCCTTTCCCCTCCTCTCCAGAAGGACCACTTGAGACCACAAGGAAACCATCTCTGCTGGCCCTTTATTACAATTGTGGAACTGACAACCGAACCTTTGGTGAGGATGACTGAGACCCTTTCTTCATTTTTGTTCCACTTCAGGTTTGTTTTCTGTGCCATTTGAACAAATGACAGAGATGAAAGGAACCTTGGCGGTCCTCTAGTCCAAGGCCCTCTACCATTCCAGACAAATTATCTCTTCTGAAGAACCTCCAGTGTTGGAGCATCCACAGCTTCTGGAGGCAAGCAGTTCCACTGGTTAATTGTCCTCACTGTTAGGAAGTTTCTCCTCAATTCCATATGGCTTCTCTTCTTGATTAGTTTCCATCCATTGCTTCTTGTCCTGCCTTCAGGTTCTTTGGAGAACAGGTCAACCCCCTCTTCTTTGTGGCAACCCCTCAAATATTGGAAGATGGCTATCATGTCAGCCTTAGTTCTTCTTTTCATTAAACTAGATATACCCAGTTCCTGTAACCAGGTTTTACCCCTAATCATCTTTGTCGCTCTTCTCTGCACTCTTTCTAGAATCCCAACATCTTTT